GTCCCCGCCGTGGTCTGCCGTCACTCCAAGCTCTTGTACTTGGTAAACAGGTTGTAGAGAACCCGCAGGGTGGACTTGAGGTCCAGGTTCACCACATCTGCAGAGCGAAACAGAGAGCATGTCGGTCGGCGGGGACGAGATAGGTCCCCGGGAGCCCTGGTGCCATCGCCTGGGGGGCGCGTGGGACAGGGGCCAGGTCAGTCGTGGAGTACTGCTCTGTAGAGACATCCAGGACGCACTGGGCAGCGCTGCCCCCAGACGCGGGCCTCAGGGGGCGAACCAAGGCCGTCTCCTGCGGGATGAGCACCTGGGGTGGCCAGGACAGGGTGCTCCATCGTCCCCTCTAGGGTTAGCGTCAGGACAAGTCCGCAGACCGATGGCGTCTATGTGGTGTGGGATCTGCCACAGCCAAGGATATTTGCCGGGAACCAAACGCCCAGGGGCCAACTTGGGGCAGGGCCGCTGGCCTGCAGCGGGACCAGGCCTCCAGGGACAGGGCAGGGTGGCAGCTGCCATCCCGCCCCTCAAGGTGGGGCACGTGGTTCCTGCCGCAGGGCGCTTACAGGATGACAGGTCCCTCTGGAGCCCAGTTAGTCTGGGCCACCCTCTTTGGTGGCAAGGGGACCGGTCCTCCTGGGAGTCGGGTGTCTGGTTCTTGTCCTCACATACCTTGTGACCTCAGACAAGTGACAGAAAGGGCTGTGGCTCAACGGTCACATCCCATCCCCGGATAGGCCTTAAATGGTGGCTGGTGAGCCTCCCCGGGTGGGCGTGTGGAGGGTAAGGAAATCATCCCACCCAGACTTCCTGCTGTCACTGCAGGGCTGGGATTCTCCAAGAGGGGTCCCCAGACCAGGAGCATCTGTGTCCCCTGGCAGCTCGTTAGAAACGGGACTTGCCGGGCCCCCCACGGCCCCCGAATCACAAGTTGTTCTTTGAGTTTCCCGAGACTCTGATGCCCCCTCACTCGGAGAATCTCAGAACAGATCACTTAACAGCGGCCAGGGAGGGCTGCTCAAGGAGCAGGGACGTGGCCCGCCGCCCTTTGGCGGCCACCTGGGCCATTAAACCGCAGCAAGCCTTTCATGTGCTCTCGAGTCAGGAGACCACGGCCCCCGCCCAAGCCCGGGCTCCTGGACACGAGTTCAACCCTGAGGCCCGTGGGCAGAGGCCACAGCCTCCGAGTCAAGTGGTTCCTATAGAACTAGCATTGGTGGCCTGGTCCCCAAAACCAAGAGCATGGGGGAGTAGGGGAATGGGGAGCTGGTGTCGGCAAAGCTTGACCTGCGAGCCACCCACTCAGGGCCTCCCAGACACCTCAGAGACCCAGGGCCTCACCCCGCTTCCCCGCCCTGCCCCTCCCCAAGGGCACCTGGCTGGGGCTTTACCTTCGGGCCTGGCCTTGGGTTTCTTGAGCCCTCCATCCAGCATCAGCTCAAAGGCAAAGGACACATTGTGGACCTGCCAAGGATGCAAGAGTTAGCGCCCGGCAAGGCTGCCCCAGGCCCACCGCCGCCCACTGCTTCCCTTCCGACAGGACAGGGACGGAGGGGAGCATGGACAGAAGGAGCACGAGGCCCGCAAGGCCCCAGGGCACCCAGTGCACGCACAGGTGGGTGGAGGGAAGGTGCAGACGTCTGCCGAGGGCCTTACACCCCTCGCCAGTGACCGGGGGTGGCTGGGCAATGCAGGGACGAAGGCACAGAGCCTGCCCTCAAGGGCCCAGGGGTCCCCGTGTGCCTGCCCCGCTCCAGGCCCCGGCCCATCCGCACGATGAGATGTGACGGCAACCCCATTTTGCAGATAAAGAAGCTGGGGTTCAGGGAAGACGAGTCACTTCTCAGAGGCACACCTCCCCGGGCACTGTCCCCAGCACAGAGCAGGCCTTTCTCCCTGAGCAAGTGCCCGCTCCACCCTCTGCCCGCCACCATCCAGATTGTCTCGTCTGCACCCACACGGCAGGCTGGGGGTCAAGGTGGAGACAGGACGGCAAAGACGGGGAGACAGGAAGCAGCGTCAGGGCTAGATGACCAGCCCGGCCTGGGAACAGACGTCCTCCCGCTGCCTCTCCCGTGGGCCTGGGCACAGGCAGGTCACCGGCAGGGAGAATGTCCACGCCTGGCACTCAGACCTCAGCGGAGAGACGGCTTCTCAAAACTACTCAGCACCGAGCATGGTGTGGCCGTGAAACCCACCCTGCCCCACGGAGAGGACAGTTCGGGGGTCACTGCCTTCTCAGTCCGTCTGCTTGGAGCCACCTGCTCCCACAGGGACGGATGTCGAAACGAGACTTTCCTTCTGCTCCTCTGAGCCTGAGGAGACCACCAGACAGGACGTGGCCACCACCCCCCTCCTTATCCGTCAGGGCCTCGCCTGCACCTCCAAGCACCTCTCGTGCCCCAGCAGAGATGTGTCCCCCGAGCCCAGACCCCAGACAGGGCGGACGCAATAGGGGATGACTCCTGACGAGGCTTTGGGGCCACCCTCCCTGACGGTGACGGCAGAATGGGACCCCGGGCCAGTGAGGACCGGGCCACACACCAAGCCCCATGCCACAGTCCAAGAGCCAGCCATAAAAAGGGTTTTCGAGAACCCGTCCAGCTGAGAGAATAGAGGGTTCTGGAACAGGAATGGCCTCTTCCGGCTCCGCCCCAGCTGACCTGTGACCCTCGGCCGTCTCTCGCCCTCCTCAGAGACAGAGGGGAAAGACCTGGAAGCTAAAGCCCTTTCTGGCATTTGCTTCTAGGAATAACCTCCAAGTCCCGAGGACACAGTCCACTCCGGAGAGAGGGAGGCACCGGAGAACCTTCCAGAAAGACGATCGATGGGCACCAAGGTACTTAGCAACGCGGCCAGCACAGAGGGAGACGCTCGCGGTGGCCGTAAAACCGTGAGTGGTGCCCAAGCCCCCGGGACAGTTCGAGGAGCGTCTTTCCTTTGCTTGCAGGAGCCTAAGAGTCCGAGCCGTCCCGCCTCATGCTTTCCCTTAACCCCACGCAGTCGTCCACGAACGCAGCCCGCGGTGTCCCCGGCCTCGGTCACCGAACCCCACTCGGGCTCCTCCTGCTGCTGCGAAGTTCCGGGTGCCGGGGCAAAGGCGCCTCTCAGGGCCTCGGCCCCTGGGAGGGACTCAGCATCATGTCACCACCGCCCTGCCTGGGACCAGCCTGAAGTGGGCTCCGTCTACACAGTGGGGAAACACCACCGCCTGTGAGGTGGTCGATAAACGTCACGGCTCAGGAAGAACTTCCCAGCGGCTCTGCGATGCCCAGCGCTCTCTGGGAGGGGAGGGGAGAGGCTGCGGGGGTGAGGCTAACGGGCCCAATAAGGATCCCCCAGAATCCAGCATCCTCCGAGGAGGCGAGCCCCAGATGCCCGTGGAGCCACGGCCAGAGGTGCCCGTTCTCGAGGATGAGCGGGCCAGCACCGCGCTGGACGCTGTCCCCTAAAACAGCCTTCCCTTCGTGGCTCCCATTCAGAGGCAAAATTGGATTGAACAGGCCTCGCGCCTCCCAGGCCAAGGCAGTGACAGACAAAGACTTTCATCGTCGTTTCAAAGGGGAGGAAGCCGCAGCTGGGAGGGGACACCCCTGCCATTTGCACAGAGCCTGTGTGTGGGGCGGGGGGTGGGAAGCCCGATTCCAGACCGCCTTGGCGAAATTCACTGTCCTCGCCGGCACGCTTATTAATTTGAACCAAGAAACGTTCTCTCCAAAACGACGCTTCTGCAGCCAGCCCCCTGGGGCCCGGAAATTCATGAGCCTCTTCACCGAACTGTGTCCCCGTTGCCAGCACGACAGGAAAGCCGCGTTTCCTGGCCAGGTCCCACGGTTCTGCTGGTTCCCTCTGCTCTCTACGCCTCTGACCGTGGACTCTAACGCGCCGGGACCTGTCCCATCTGCTCCAATCCCATCGCGGCCGGCGAGACGGCAGCGGCGTTTGGCCAGGTGCAAAGGGCCTGCCAGGCGCCGGGAGCGGGCGGGTTGATAGACACTGGCCCCGTTTTCGGGGGTTGCTCTGGCTGTCACCACCGCTCGTCTGCCGCTCGGACTCGCGGGTCTAGCACTTTGAGAAAACAGAATGACAGATGTCCGTGCGTCCAGGCAATATGGTCGGTCCACGCGCCAAGTTGCCGAAGGCGAGGCACTAACTCCTGCCAGATGGCTGGACTTGGGGAGGCCCCGGGCGGGAGGCCAAGCGCTCAGTCACACAGGGCAATGGCACCGGGGACAAGCGACCCAAGTGTACAGGTCAGGCCCTTTGATCCAAGCAATCCTATTGAAGGGATTTTCCTAGAAACAATCCACAGGAATGAAACACAAACAAACACACAGACACACACACACACACATTCAAGAAGATGCTTGTTTTCATAGGGGAAAAGTAGGAACGAGCGGCACGAGAGTGGGGAACAGGAGACAGCAGTGTCGAGGCCACTCCACGGGGCTCCTGCCACGCCTGGAAACGGCGTCTGGGAGACCGTCAAGCAGCAGGAGGCACGAGATGTGACATCCACGTGGCCGGGGCGGGGCACTCCACGGGGCTCCTGCCACGCCTGGAAACGGCGTCTGGGAGGCCGTCAAGCAGCAGGAGGCACGAGATGTGACATACACGTGGCCTGAGCGGGGGACAGATTGGCAACTCTACTGGCCTTTGACCACGATTGTTAAAATTATCTCGTCTTGGGGGAAGACCCGAAAGGGAACACCCCACCTGTGGCTGTGCCGGGCGCGGCCGACGGCTTTTTCATTTCCCAAGGGGTTCCGCCTAACCGATCCCGCGTGCCATGCCACGTTACATTTGAAGAACGCGCTCCCACGACGCAGACGCGCACGTACCTTCTGGTCGAAGCTGTCCGGGGTCAGGTAGAAGTTGTGCAGGGGCACGAAGTAGTCCTCCAGCAGCCCCATGAGCAGGACCAGGTACACGCCGTCTGCAAACTACAGAGGAATACGCGGTGATGCTTCTGGTGCGTGACTCAGGGAGCACTATGCATCCACTCAGAAGGACGAAGACATTTTAAAGCAAAACAGCGCATGTCCGGTTTAGGTGAGAGCACCTGCAGCCAGGAGCGGGGCCTGGGCGCAAAGCGTCACACCAGGACCAGATGTGACCGTGTGCCTTTGGAGCTGGACCACAGCTACGGGACCGGACCACCCGGCCGCGGGGCCCGTCCCCCACTGCCGGCTTGGGGAACGACACGGGCTCCCATCTCTCAGGGCTGGAGTGCAGATCAGGGACGGGGTGGGCAGGGAGCACCCAGCACACACCGAGGGCTCCAGCGGTGTCAGCGGCACTAAGCCGAGCCCGCGATGGCCCTGTGCCTCGGTTCGAGGTTTGCAGCCCTGTCCTGCTCACTCGTCAGCTGTCCAAGTGCCACCTTCTCACTATGCTCACGGCACAGGACAAGCTTTCTCGTCCTCAAGCTTTGGTGACGGTGAGCCTTTGTGTGTACCCAGCATGTAGTGTCCATCCCAACTGGGCCCTGAACAGCGGGGTCGGCGCTGGGGGGAAAGCCCCACGGACTGCAGCCCTTGCTCCAGCTCCCTAACCCCTCTCCGGCCACCGGGCCCAGCACCACCTCCCACCCGCAGCAGGGGCCAGGACCGAGGACGACAGCCTCTGCTCCCTGGCAGACGGCCCCCTGTCCCATGAGCCAGGACAGGGCATAGCTGCTCCTTTTGCAGACAAAGCGCTAGAGACCAAGGTGGCAGAGCAGCTTCTGGAGGGGGAGGGACGCCTCAGCCACCCCCACGGAAGACAGAGACGGCGTCCCTGAGGGGCCCGGACTCGCCACAGTCCCCTGTGGGGCGAGGACGCGTGAGGACCCGAGCCTCCAATGGCTGGAGCCGCGTCGTCCAGTCCGCAGCCACTGGCCACCTGGGCTTATTGAAACGGAAAACGGCTTTCCTTGAATGCTGCAGACGTATCCTTTTTTGCTGTAGTAAATTACGCACGATGTGAAATTCGCCATCTTAACCGTTTCTAAGTGGCTCCGGTTCCGTCTGCTCAAGCACATCCGCGCGGTCGTGCAAACCCATCTCCAGAACGCCCAAAGTGCAATCGTTTAAAAATTACCCAAATGCAGGATCAGCTCAGCCACACTAGCCACATGTCAAGCGCTTGGTGGCTCCGGGTGGCCAGAGGCCACCGTATTGCACGGTGCGACGACACAACGTGTCCGTCATTCGAGAAAGTTCTACCAGACGACTGGACAGCGGGGGGTGGGGGGCAGGGGGCCTTTCGCTTCCTGAGACGAGCGACCCACACGGGTGACAGGAGAACCTGAGAACGGAGGACACTTCATTCTCAAAACAATGACCGCCCCCTCCGCCGTCTCGGGCGGGCTGCCAGGCCCCCGATTTCAAGATGAGAAGCCAAAATCGCACACATGCAACAGCACAACACGCTGTCCCCAGGGAACGGAGGGGAAGCTGAGACACAAGCCGGGAGCAGAGGGGCCTGTGGGCGGTGGGCGAGCGGTGGGGGGCGTCCGGGGCTGGTGACCTGATGCGATCTGACGGGTAAACGGCCCGCGGTCCGCGTGTCACGAGCCTCGTGCTCCCGTGTCGTGAAGGCACTGCTCGCCCCTCTCCTTAAAGCCAGAATCACGTGTACCCCAGGCAGCCGTTCGCTGTCCACCCTGGCGGAAGGCACTGGCATCCTCCCCCAGTGACAGCACGCCCGCGTGCCCAAGACACTGGCCCTCCCGTCCACACCGACCATTTGCAGACAACCAGAGGTCGCCCGTGAATGAAGACCCCACCCGCACCACCCAATGCTGCTGCACCCAGACGCCGAGACCGGCAGAGAGTCCGCTCACTTCCGTGGCACCTTCTTAGCCACCCCTGGCCCACCACGTCACAGGACGGTGGGAGAGATGGGAACCGAAGGGAGGAAGACACGGGAAGGAAAGGAGGCGCCCGGCAGAGTGAGGGCCAAGCAGAGCGTGGTGGTTCACCCACAATGAGTGGGGTGCCCCATCTGCACAAACGCAGAGCAGGAGGTCCTGCTCAGGGGTGCGCCTAGCTCGGAAATCCCCACGGATTCCCCGAGACACCACCATCGCCGTCTCCATCATCGATAGTGACTTCTAACCCACCCCTGGCCCACGGATTCCCAGAGACACCACCATCGCCGTCTCCATCATCGATAGTGACCTTTAGATGCATTTTTCTCCATTAAGCCTCACCAGTCTGCAGTTCCATGTGTAGAGAGAAAGCCAGGCAGTCTAAGTAACTGGCTCGTATCACAGAGCTGGGAGGCTGCCCGGAAGACACAAGTGGCTTTAAAAAGGAGAGACAGCACCCTTACACACGCACACTCATGCACACGCACGCACACGCATGCATACACGCACCCTCCGGGCAGGAATCTGAACCCGGGTCTCTGACTTCGATGATGAACGTATTTATAAAGATACCGGATTCCATCGCAATTGCATTTCTGTGGCCACGATGCCTTCTGGTGAACCGGTGGTTAAAAACACTTTTAGGATATTACTTTATATAGTAGAGTGATAGGAAAAACATGGGCGCCACTGAGTAAATAAATATTAATGCAAATTTAAGTTTGGAGTCTCAGTCTAAGACGTCTGCTGCTAACACTGCTGTGTGGGCTCCTCTGAGAAGCGACAGCTGGGAGCTGCCAGCGGGGAGGTCCGGGAAAGTGTTTTCTCAGCTCTGCGGTGAGAGCTTCCGGTGGTCACTCCTTCCGGGCCCTCAGCGTCACTCCCTCTGCTCCCACCATTCTATTCCTAGGGGTTGATCCTGAGGAAACCCACGAGGCACGAAGATGCTCACTGCACTGCTGTCTACAAGAGCGGGAAACGCCCCATCATGAGGGATGGGTTTAATGGAACACAGAGCAGCCTTCGATGAAATAGAAGGCAGCTGTTAAAAGTGACAAACACAGAAAGACAGACCAGGCCGCAGAGAAAAGACGAGACAGAAACACACGCACACACACACACGCACGCGCACAAAAAGACGCCCACAATGTATTTGTAAGAAAACACACATTACAAAACAGCTGTACCATACGATCCACTGTCATTTTAAAAATACACGTATGCATATAAAATATCCAGGAAAATATACATCCAACCATGATATAGTGTTACCCCTGGGGAGGATGATTGTCGGGAGGGAGAACAGAAGCTTTTGACTTTTCAGCTAGTTCTTCTGGACTGTTACTACAGCAAACAGCAAAGAAGCAGAGGCTAACTGTGCAATATCAGTAAACTGCAAAAAATAATAAATGCAGTTGCAAACGATGCACAAATACACACATTAAAAACGGGCCATTCGGCTTTCAAATGCAGACCCACGCTGTTCCCGATCAGCTATCGATGTAGAGAAAAGGTCTGGAACAAACCTCCCAGCACAGTGATCTCTGGGTGACAGGATTACGGATGATTTTTATTTGTTTTGCTTATCAGCCTGTTCAGACATTTTTGCAATGAACCTGAATTAGTTTTTTAATTAGAAAAGCAAATGAGAAAAGTTAAAGAAAGAGAACGGATGAACGCAATCACCCAAGGGTTTAAGAAGGATCAGCTGTGCATTAGAGCTAATCCGAGAACGCAAAGCTCGGAAGTCCAGCCCCAGCTAATCCTGGGGAAATTACATGTTGTCCTCCACGCTTGCCGAGTGCTCAAAACATATTTCACAGTGCTGCTTTCATTTTGAGTGGGGGTGGGGATATACAGCTGACCCTTGCACAGTGGGGGGGCCGAGGGGGCAGAGGGGGCCGAAAATCCACATAGTGTATGCCGCATCCTCACAATAAAGTAAGGTAGCAAAAAGACGTTAAGAAAATCATGAGAAAGAGAAACATTCACGTTGCTGTGCTGTATTTGTCGACGCCATGAGTCAGCGTCGTCTGTTTACAAGAGTCATCATTTCCGACGTCGACATCCCCTTACGTGACGCAGCACGCTGCAGGTGTGACATGTATTACTAGCGCTCGATATCGAAAACGAGAAGATAATGGGAAAGAGAAATTCACATTCCCTGACAGGTGCAACAATCATGCACTGATAAAGCAGCAGCAACAGGATTGCTTGGTGCCGGCAAGAAAATCTCCAAAAACGCTTCCGATATAGTTCCTGGGGAAAAAAATCCACGTATACGTGGACCTGTCCAGCTCAAGCCCGTGTGTTCAAGGCTCAACCGTACTTTACGAACCTCCTGCAGGAACGGCATCCTGTGCACAGGCACGTGAGGGATGCCCAGTGAGACTTTGCTACGTGCCAGCCACAGCTCCGAGGTGAGGACGGCAGCCGAGAGCAGAAGCCGGGGGGACAGAACATTCTAGACCGAGGGGCCTGTACGTGCACAGGCTCGGATGCGGGGGCGGTATGGCATCTCGGAGGGTATTATGGGTCGAACTGTGTCCCCCTCCCAATAAAGTGTGTGGGGTCCTAGCCCCTAGTCCCCGTGAATGTGATCTTGTTGGAAATAAGTCTTTACCGAGGTGATCATTAAATGAGGTCAGGAGGGTGGCTCTGATTCAACATGGCGATGTCCTGACCAAAAAGGGAGACTGGAACGCGGGCGTGCACGCGGGGAAAACACCACGCGAAGTCGGAGGCAGAGATCGGGGAGCTACCCCTACGACCCCACGAGCATCAAGGTCACCAGCAAACCCCCGGAAGCCAGAGGAGAGGCCTGGGACAGGTTGCCCCTCTCAGCCTCAGAAGGAGCCAGCTCTGGGGACGCTGGGACCTGTAGCCTCCAGACCGTGAGAGAATAAACATCTGCCATCTCAGCCGCTGTCTGTGGCACTCTGTTCCGACAGCCCCGAGAAATGAAGGCGGAGAGTCTGAGAGAGGCCAGGGGGCTGGCGCGGGAGCCACCTCAGCCACCGGGCGGGCCTTCCTGTCACGAACGCGATGGCACCAGGTTCGCTCACAGGGCCCTCCCGGGATCAGAGCGAGCGCTGGCTGCCAGCAACGCAGGACAGAGGGCCCTTCAGCCCAGGACGCCGCTTACCTGGGTCTCTAGTTCCGTCACCTCCAAATTCAGCTTGTTCAGGTGCTTGTTCACAAAGGTGATGAGAGACTGTCAAGGCAAAGAGACACGGGAGCCGTGAGAGTCGCCCCCCCCGCCTCCCCCGAGGGAAGGGATCGACCGCGCCATCGCTGGCTCTGTGAGACGCTGTCCTCATCCGTTGACCGAAACAGAAGGCGCATGTTTGAGATGTTCTTGCAGTGGCCTTTGGTTTTCACGGAATAACGAAACCCATCCAGCTGGAGAAGGGAACGCGCGTCTCCACGTGCCGACCCGTGTCGACCCGTGTGCGCACACGCGGACACACCCGTGCCCTTCAGAAGGATGCAACTGTCGGCGGAAGAGAGCTCAACTTTTACATGTGTCCTAGACGTAGCCCTGAATGACAAAAAACGTGCGGGAGACAGGCCGCCTGGGCCACGCCCCTTGCAAAGGGCCCGTTCTACCCAGGCTTCCTAGGGGGAGCTTAAACCTCATCAGCATCAGCAACCCCACCCACCCCACCTCCGGACATGATGTCACTTCCTCACTCCTTCCAAATTTGCAGAGCGGCTACGACGGGCCAGGCGCTGTGCCCGGTGCTGGGGACGCAGAGGCAGCGGGACAGAGGCAGGCCCTGGAGAGCCTGCGACATTCCTAATCCTCCATACGCACGCCCAGGGGAGGCGACGGAGAAATCGAGAGCTATGGCGGAGCGTGCGAAACGGGCGACAGGGGCAGGGTGGCTGAGTGACCAGGAGAGGCGTGTGGCTCCCTGGAAGTCCTGGGGGGAAACGTTCGAGCCGGGCCGGGCTGGGGTGCGGGGTGGGCGGAGCAGGTGCCCAGCTCTGCCAACATTATGTGCAGACCCTGTGGCGTCTCCAGGCCGTGGCCAGATGCCGGGGCCGGATGTGGGTGGGATGGGAGAGAGTAGAAGGGGGTGACCCCAGGAACAGCTGGAGAGGTGGGCAGGACCCCCCTGAGGTTACTCTGGGGTACGAGGAGCCCCTAACACAGCAACTCTCCCTGTGGGGGTGCGGAGGGGCCAGGCTGGAAGCAGGAAGCTGTCAGGCAAATGAAAAGATTTTGTCTAGTTCATCGCTAGGGTCCCAGCGACCGAAATGTCTTTTCGAAAAATGAATGAGCGCTGTTTCTCCTGAAAGACGGAAGCTAACGTCCCGCGATGTCACGTTCCACACCGGTGGCTGGTCGCGCGCTGGGCCCGTGCACACACCTGGTCACACTTTACTGTCACGGTTCCCCATGGTGGGGATTGCCTGCACCTACTTGACAGATGGAGAAACTGAGGCAGACAAGTATAATCTGCCGCAGGTGACACAGCTGGTAAGTGGGCAGGCCAGGCATGGCTGGGCTGGGAGTGGGGCCCGCTTCGAGGCCCCAAGGTGTGTCCCTCATGACCTCAGGAGGCTCAGACGGCTCCGCCCTTTAGGGCCCCTGGGACCATTCCACTGGCCTTTTGCAAAGTGCTGCCAAAAACTAACCATCTCATTGTCCCAGCCTGGACCATCATTTTCCAAAAACGGGTCCCCCAGGAAGGTAATGTGTTCTATCCCAAAAAAATGTCACTATCAACAAACAAGTTTGGGAAAAAAACGCTTCTTACTGAGCTGCTTGGAGGATTCCACGCATGTTAGTATATTAAAGACCCTGAGAAATCCTGCGGTAAGAAACCTGTTTGAGGACAGTGTTCTAGAACTCTCTCCTGGGTCTCGGGCAGAAACGATCACTCCTCAGGTTTCGCAGGAAGGCTGGAAGCACAGCCGTCTGGCCATCCCCAGTAAGCTTCTGCAGGCGCTCAGACAAGTCCACGTGCAGCGAGGCGAGCCTCGCCTCCCCCCGCAGGACAAGCCTTCCTGCCAGATGCCCCCGGAAGCTCGAGGCTTTTTCCATCCACAGGTTTACCAGCAGGCTGCCTGGGCTGATGTCGGGGGCCTGTCCCTCACACTCCTGCCTACGGGCAAATGGGCCACGTCCACACGCAGGACAGCTGTGCCGGCAAAGGCTCGTTTACTGGGCAGTTCGTGAATGCAGCTTGGCAATGAGGCCAGCGACAGCCAGCAGGTGAACATGCTTAGAAACATTCCCACACTGCAGAAAAGGCTCCAGCAGGAAAGAGCCCCACGCCCACCGCTGGCTGGGGACCTCGCTCACTCAGCAGAAGCGGGTGGGCGGCGGGAAGACACCCAGGGAGCGGAGATGTGGAGTTAAAAGGTGCTAATTTTATGCACTGTAGGTACGTTTTGACTATAATTACACTTCAATCCATGTGGCAAACATTGCAGAGATTTCAAACGATCTCCCCACCTTCCCAGCGTGGAGCCCGCGCTGTGGAAAAGTCCTTACCTTCTTCACCAGGCTGAGCTTGTCGGGCGCGTGGTCGAACAGGGTGTCGAAGGCGTCACGCTCTGTGTGACATGCAGAGACATGGGGGCAGGGTTACGGACACATGCTGAGCTCCCGCCCCGCCCCCCGGGGGAGGGGCAGCGTCCCCCCCTCGGGACGGTCACACCTGCCTGGACTCGTCCGGTTCCTGCCTGAACCCTACAAGGTCCAGGGAAAGATGCTCTGGGCTCCTTCCAGCTTGTCTTCCAACATGAAACACACAGGGAGCCCGTGGACCTCCGTCCCGACCACGGCCCCGGCCGGGGCCTCCCTGCTCCCGCCCTTCCCCCCGCACTCCTGTGGACCAGTGAGTCCCGGCAGCGCATCGGCCACGGCTCGGCCCAGAAGCCTTGGCCTCCAGCTCACCGGGCTCCCTCCTCCGGCCCTCGTCCCTCCCGTCCGTTCTCTCCAGCAGGCAGAACAAGCTTCGTAAAGTGTAAACTGGACGTTTCTCGCCTTCTCCCCATCCCTGCCTCGCCTAAAACTCTCCGACCACGTCTCATCGCTCTTAAAGTTCATTCTCCCTCCCTCGGGCCCCTGGGACCCAACAGGCTCGGGGTCACCCCCCGACACGCTGGCCCTCCCTGACTTCACTCCACGGACTGGCTTCCCGGCTGCTCCTCACTCACTCACCACGGGGCCTTCGCACCTGCTGTCCACCTGCCCCCCCTTCCTGCAGGTTGCTCCCATATAGCTCCTCTGAAGGGCCTTCCGTGACCACGGGGAAGAGCACCCGCCGTCACTATGTGTCCTCTTACCCTGCCGGACTTTCTTCACAGTGCTTAATGACTGTGGCCTGATTTGTCAGCGTCCCAGAGCCGACACTGCTGGTTCCCTGCTCTGCCTCCGGCTCCCGGACAATGAAGGGCCCACGGCCAGTGCTCAGAACAAATGCATGAGCCGGAGGGGACCCTGCCCCACGGTTTCTCTTCAGGGGACATGTCCCCTTCTGTGGGAACATCTGCAGGGCCACCGTGTCCCCCGCCATCCTCCTCCAAGGCCAGCCCCAGCCTAATCCCACAGCCGCTCTCAGCCCAACCTGCCCTCCGGATTAACCAGGACCGGCCCCTGCCCTTCGTACAGTGACGCCCCTGGCACCGAGTCAACACGGCTCTTGGGAGATAAGAAAGGCGCAGGGTGGCTGGAGGCCGGGGACCTGGTTCTAGCCTGGTGCTGCTGTGGGGTCCCATGGAAGCAAGACAGAGGCTGCTACAGGCTGGACCCCCGTGGGAGGGCTGAGGTCTGCAGGGCGGAGGCAGGGCTGTGGGGAGTCGCTGCTAGGGCAGGGGGCCAGCTGACACCCCCAGGCCCCTCAGGGAGCCTTCTCCTAGGCCTGAGGGGTGTGTGTGCGCATGTGTGCGTGTGAGATGGGTTCACACACGACTATGGGGACGGGGCGTGCGCGTGTTTGGGGCGGATAACCCAAAGGCCCAGCCCTGCAGAAGCCTCTCTACCGCAGCAACTGTAAATTATTTTTATAATCTTCTAAGTCAGATTATTCTCAATAAGACAGTCTGCTAAGGAGGGGGAAAAAAGCTAATCTTTACAAAGCAAAAATACAAATTTTAAATGCAGCTTGAGAAGAACCCCAGGAGCAGAGCGGAGCTTGACGTCAGCCGGGTATTTTTAGCTGGGCCACTGCTGGGCTCCCAGTCAGGGCGCGAGGAGGGGGCATCGGAGCAACGTCACACGGCCGGGTGGGCCTTTCCTGCGCCCTGCGTGCCAGGCCTTGGGAACGAAAACAGGTCCGGGTTCAAATCCCGGTCGCCCGCCTTCAAAGTCCCCTGACCCCAGGCAGGCGGCTTCTCTCCCTGAAGCTGCTTGCTCCTCGGCCAAGGGGGGTCGAAAACAGCCCCTCCCTCACCGCGGGTAGCAGTTAGAGGGGACGAGGACAGGGACACACTGCCTGGCAGCACGCGGTCCGTGAGACCTCCCTCCTGTCCTGCTCCGCCCTCACCGCCCACCCCTGGGGACAGCCACCGAGATCAGCAGGGAGGGGGCCCAGGCTACTGGACGCAGACGGGTAAACCAAGGAGGCACAAAGAGGTCGGGTACCCCAAAAGGCCGGAAAGGACACAGGAAGGGGCCGAGTCAACCACAGCGTGCCGGTGTCTGTCAAGTTCAGCCTTTGGGGAGTGTGGTCCAGATAAAGCTGTTTTTGTTTGAGTTGACATTTTTTAAACTGGAAGATTTATCCCTAAGTTCTGAATTTCTGGCTTTTCTTGGAGAACTGGACGCTGGGGCCACAGCGAGCCCACATTCTCACCTGGCATCAACGGGCACCCACGGAAGTGGGGTGTGGACCGTGCAGTTGGTCCCAGACCCCACCACTCCCCACTGCCACCAACAGAGGCCAAGGGGCAGCTGCCCGTTCGTTATCCCTCGATAGTCTAGCCACTGCCCTTTTTACGTTATTAGCCTGGTCCCTGGACGCACCCGAGTCTGGGGCCCGTGGACACAGGGGACCCGAGGGTACAGAGAGTACAGAGAGACACGAGGGACCCAGTGTGGCCACCAGTGTGACCTGTGAGGGAGGACAAGAGGGGTCAGGTCCTGCAGGGTGAGGTGACCAGAGGGAGGTGACCGGGAATGGCTGCCATGTGACAAAGGGGGAGATGTGGGGGGAGGGGTGGGGTTACGAGGAGACAGGGGAGAGGGGGGGATAAAGCCCCCCTCCCTTCCGCCCAGGATGGGCCCGGGGAGGGGGAGGGGCCGCCTGTGGAGAAAGGCAGCCAGCAAACCCGTTGCCATGGAGACCAGTCTGCAGCTCCCCAATTCCCCTGGGGAGGGAAGGGCCTCCCACCCCACCTCAGCCAGAACAGCGATGGTATCAGGAGGTGCGGGGGGTGAGGAGAGGGAGTGGGGAGGGCAGGCAGAGCAGACCCCCCCTCAGCTCAGTGCGCTCAGGTGACAAACTGAGGCCCAGGACACGGCTCCTCGCAAAGCCCAGGGGTGACATGAGCCAAGGAGGGCCTGCCAGCGACTGGGATGCTGGCTGCTGCGGGCGATGGGCGTGGAGGAGGACGCGGTCCGGCCCACAGGACGCTCACGGGTCAAGGTGCCACGTGAGAAGGGGAGGAGGGAAAGGTCGGGCCCCCCAGACTGCCGGGCACCTCGCGTCTGCCGGGCATATGGCCGGGCTCCGGGTGAGAAAACAGAGCGAAGTAACACAATCCCTGTAGCAGAGCGGTGGTCACTCAGGCGGGGTCGGGGAGGGCCCCCTGATAAGCGGAGTTGGAGCCAGAGCAGGAGGAGCCCAGGGGGTGGGCCACAGGCGGTCAGGATGGGTGAGAAAACAGAGCGGAGCGACACAATCCCTGTAGCAGAGCGGTGGTCACTCGGGTGGGGGTCGGGGAGGGCCCCCTGATAAGCGAAGTTGGAGCCAGAGCGGGAGGAGCCCAGGGGGTGGGCCACAGGCGGTCAGGAGGGGAGCATTGTAGGCACAGACCAATGCAGTGTGAGGGCAGGAAGGGCCGCAGGAAGGGCCACGCGGGGAGCCAGGAGGCCAGGGGGCAGGCGAGGACCTCGGAGGCCACTGCGAGGGCCGTGGCTGCGGCTTAAACCAAGGCGAGGGGCAATGAGGAGAAGAGTGAGGGGTTCAGGGGAGCTTTAGGAAGCCTGGCCCCAAGGACGGTGCCCAGGAACCAAGTGGAGGGGCCAGCAGGCGACCAGCACCAGGGGAGGGCCTGTCTCTGCAGGGCAGGGGCGAGAGGGGGCTGGAGACGCCCCCCGCAGCCCCGCTGCGCCCGAGGCTGGATCTGGGTAACCAGGAGACCTGGGGTTTGCGTCAGCAAAGCCACCAGGGGGTGGAACTAATTGCCTGCCACCCACTAATAGCCTGTTTGCATCTCACACGCAGGCGAGAGCCTGGACAGGAACGGGGCTCGCTCCACGGGCTTCGCGGTTCCCTCGCCCCCACTCCGTGCCCAGCTGTCTCCCGTGCTGCCCAGCACGGTGGCTGGGTCCTTTCCACACTGCGTCTCACCCAGAGGTGCCATCCTGTGCGCCAGACCCTGGAGGTCGCCCACAGCACGGCCGCGGGCTGCTCGCCCAGTGTTCACTCCCTCCGCCACAGCCCCCAGTGGGACCGATTCGCCCCAAGTTCCCCAAACCTCAAACCGGGCCTGTCCCAAACACAGACGTGACGACAAACAGAAAACCACAGACGACAGTTTAAAATGCTCTCAGGGCCCCACTCTGTGCCTCTGCAATCTGTGGGGGTGGGAGCCCCGCCATACGGAAGGTGCACTGCACCCCCAGACAGGCCTGCACTCAGACACAGGGCAAGGCCAGGCTGCCCATGACGCCCGTCCACTCCGGACGCCTGTCCGCCCACGCCGGCCCCGTGAGCTGCACTCCCCACCGCTGATCTGCGTCCTGAGCAGCTGAATAAGGGACAGTTGTCTTTTCTCCCTGCTTTTTTTTTAAAAAAAATAATAAAGACATTAAAAAGAACTGAGCTGCTATTTTTAAAAAAATAGTGAAGACTAAATGTCCCGAGCCAGCTTAAAGCCCACTTAAGAAAGCTTAGGGACAAATAATTGCTGCCTTTTCTCAGGTTCAAGACCTTCGAGAATACAGAATTCAGTCCCCGTAACAACCTGAGTTACAGGCCCCGGAGGCCCCGCAGCTCCGGGCCCAGCTCCAGGCTGTCTGGCTCCCGAGGCACACCTGGAAGCTTCTATTTGGTTTCCACTTTTCCTCCTAATAGCTGTGCTCACCTTCCAGCTCACTGGAGAACATGGTATTTGGGTCTTTCTGTTCTGGAATGTTCCCCCAAGCGGTGAGCCTGGCTCAGGCTGCCTCTGCCTGCGGCTGACAGCCAGGGCCCCCCAGCCCTGAGGGTTTAAACGCTGCCACACGCTGTCCCTTTGTCTGCCATCCCTGGTGGAGTCGAGGGTGGGATTGTAGGGCTTTAATGGGGCAGGGGACAGCTCTTGGGGAAGAGCCGCTGAAAGCCAACAGTAATGACCACCCCGTAGAAAGAGGGCTGGGTCCCAGGCCAGTGAGAGCACTCATTTCGTACCCCACGTCATCGGCTCACGGCCTGGACTCACAGAGAGGGGAAGGACCAGAGCCAAGGCCGCCCGACTCTAAGGAGGTCTGTTAAGCTGGAGACTTCGAGGCGTAATGACGAAATATGAAAGTATATCCTATAAAGAAACTCTCTCCCGGCAAATTATGCTCTACGTTCAAGCCAACGCCTCCGCCCTCCCTCGTGTCCGGGTCCCACGCTCTGTTCCAGTCCCTGCTGGTCACAACACGTGCCACATCCAGACTTCCTCTGCCCTCTACCTCACCATGCCAACCTTCCACCCCACTGCCCCCAGCACTCGGCCCCTCCCGGCTCTGAGCAGCAAACCACACGCCACAGCGCGGGGCCCACGGGGAACCACACGCTTCCCCTAAGACTCCGGGACTGCTGCCCCCGCCCCCCATGTGACTGCGTGAACCCTGGGGCTTCCCGGGGCAGCCCCAAAGCGCCCTGCGCCCACAGCCCCACCCTCAGCCACATCCCTGGGGTTACTTACCAAACCGACCCATCATCATCCTGCAAACAAGAACAGGAGAGAGTCACATGGTCATTCAGAACGGTTTAATGAGCAGTAGGATGGAGGCCGACAGGGGGGGGGGCCACCCCAAAGTCAGGGCCCCGAAATGCCCAGTCGAAAGGCTTAACGTGAGCCACACTTTGACCAACTCTGCCCCGGGCCTGATCGCCAACCAACGGGAGGTGCTTCCCTAGGTTACCGCATGTGCGCACAGGGTCACCAGCAAATCGCCGTCTGTATTTCCACCTCCCCTTAGTGCCCCTGCGGGGAGGGTGATACATCGTCGTGAGAGTGCAGGTGACACGGAGAAAATTTCAGCAGAAAACGGGTCTTACCAGCCGTCGACTGGTAAACTTTAAGATACCAGCGTGCAGGCTGCCTGCGCCCCATTTCCAAGTCGGCGCGACACACTTTGAAGGAACCTTGAAGCCAGGGGCCCAGCGGAGCCACAGCCCAGGCTGAAACCGCGAAGGAGGGAAGCCCAGCTCCTCCCTGAGGATGTCGCACGTGCAGACGCACGGCTCCCTCCCGCGCGCTACCTTCCTGAGAGGCAAGGGGGCCTTTATTTTATCCCCAAATCCCTCTAGACTCAAGTTGTTTGGCTCCATCTCATTTCACGATTCTCTTGAGCACCTACTATGTGCAGGCCACAGAGACACAGAAATGAACCCCACTGGCCCTGCCCTCGTGACGCCTGGTGGCGAGAGAGACTCCTAAGCCCACATTTGCACACGACCCGTGTGTGCGCAGCGTGACTGACATGTAGGAGAAGCTATGGGAACCAAAGGAAGGCAGCTGCTCCTGCTTGCAAACAGGGAGGGCTTCCTGAAGGAGGTGGCCTCAGAGCCGCCACTAGGAAGGGAACCGGGAAGAATGCTGGGGCTAGGCAGAAACGGAAAGTGGGCCAGGCTCGCGCTCACTCGTGATTATCCTACGATTCCACATAGTTCTGTAATGATAAATGGAAAACCTTCCCCTTCTCAAGACCCTCGGTGTCTTTCCGTCTGTTTGAATGATACCTCCAACCATATTAAAAGTGTGACCTTATTTAAAAAGTTTTTAAAATAAGAAGCAGAAGGTGGATCTTCGGGGCTGCAGGAGGGGGGCTGCAGGGGACTGAAGCGGGCTGCCTGGTCAGCACTGGGTCAGCTGACGGCTGGTGGTCCAGGGGCCCCATCATACCGGCTGAGGCCACGCAGACGGGCCGGGGTCGGGAGACCAGGCAGGAGGCTGGGCGGCCTCTGCTGGTAATCGCTCCCCACCCTGACTTTGGGGCGCTCCCCTCCCCTGAAATTCCCTTAGGGCCACACGGCACTTCCCACATTCCTACGACATACCCTTTCTTACCAGCTGGACTGCCAGCTCTCAAGGGGAGAGACACCTCGGCCTCCGTGCCCAGCGCAGGGCCCTCTGCGTGCTGGTCACTGCTGTGAGCCCTCCCCACCGGGAGATGGCTGAAGATGGCGGAGGTCTTCCCACCCCACTGGGATGGGCCTGGCGGCTCCCGCCCTGGCAGTCTGTCTCCCTACCCCCTGATCCAAGATGGTCCTGTGACTCACTCTGACCCACAGAAGGCGAGGACATAGAAGGAGGTCCAGGGTGCCCGTGGCTCCCCTCTCTCTCAGAACCAAGCTTCTCGAGGACAAGAGGCACGAGAGGACCACTGTTGTCACCAACCATCGGGTTAGCTAAAGACCGGCCCAGCTGAGCCCAGCGCCCACTGCCGACCGCAGAACTGTCATCCAATAAAACGACGGCCATCTCAAGCTGCTCGGGTTCGGGGTGCTTTGTTACACAATCACGGATGAGACGCCACCCTGCACCCTGCTCTTAATTCCTCTCAAGCTGCCCCCTCCTCGCTGTCCCTTGCCCGCCCTCCCCACCCCTCCCCTCCATGGGCTTGGAACAGACGTGGACACGCACCAGGCCACATGTCCCTGCCATTCGCGTGACAGCTCCCACGCCGAAAGCGGTTTCCTGTGTCAGCTCCAAGTTTTGAAAGACCATACAGGAATTCATGGCACGGTAATTAATCACTCCATGAACTGAGTGGGCGGGTTATCTGAGCCGACCCGTTTTTAATGTTCAGTTTCTTCCGAAACAGGTTTAGTTGAGAGGCACAAATGCCATGAATTTTAAAGATGCTTAACAGGGGGTCGTAAGGGCCCCCAAACACCACACACAAAATATACCATTTGATTTGCTATTTTCAATAGATAGGAAGCCTTTTAGGCTTCTTAACAACTTGCCCTCTGGTTTTTAATCCAAGGGACAAAAATGGCTCGGTCCTGTCTGTCAGTGGAAAGTTCTCGTTTGGACACCTTGGGACCATGGGTCCCTCTAAACATCTGAACACCCTCCCTCCCTCCCTCCCTCTCTCTCAACATTCTGAAAGCTCACCTTCTAACGTAAGGAGTGAAAAGCCCACAGGCTTCAGAAAATAACTCGGTTCTAACATTAAACACTTTGAAGATGTTGGCGTGCTCAGTACACGGAAGTTCAGTGTTTTAAATTCCTCCTCACCCTTTTTTTCCTTATAAGAGATTTTGAATGTGATCAATCGTATTTTTATTTGTTTATTATTCTGTCTCATCCCAGAAAAGATTTCAGGCAGCCTAAATAAGTTCTGATTCCTATGTCATACATATTGGTTTAGTTTTCTATTTGGGAAGAAATAGTAGATCTGAAAATCCTCATTCAAATGCCAAACCAGTCTGCTATTTTGCCCTCCCCCCCCCCGCCCACACACACACCCCTTTATAGAATGTGTGGCGCGCGGAACGCTGGGGCAGAGGCCTGCGTGGACAGCTCATCCAGAGCTGAGGGACTGTTGAGTGGACAATGACCCACACACGTCTGGGTCCCCGGCTGCCGTGGGGCCTGGAGGGCTGGGCAGGGGGCTACTTACTCTGTGCTCGTGGTCAGCTCCTCTGTGACATGGCTGGAATGCAGCAGGCCTTCCCGCTTCTGAAACCCCCAAAGAAACAAATAAACACACAAGCACTGAGTGGGCAGAGAGGGCAGGACAGAGGCCATCACTGACAGGGCAGCTGAAGCCATGTGTAGATGGCCAGGGGCCCGGAGACCACCTTGGGGACGATGACAGAACAGAGTCGTGTAGAACGTCCAAGCCGCGCCGGTGGTAGGCTGCAGGTAACCACAGGAGGGTGACCCTTTTGGTGGCTGGAAACTGTCCCCCACCCTCCCCGCTCTAGGTTCTCCATGTCACTCTTAGAGCCGGCAGCTTTGGGGGTCTCAGGAGAAACACCCCAGCTCCCAAAGGGACCCTCCACATCCTACGTCTGGGAAAGCTGAGGAGCACTGAGGGACAAACACGACAATAGGAAACACCCATGCCCGGGGGTGACTGCGTCCCCAGAAGTCGTGCCCACCCGGAAGCTCGGAACGGAAACCTATCGGAGAACGGGGTCTTTGCAGATGCGATTAGTTAAGACGAGGCCATGATGGACTAGAGTGAGTCCTCGATCTTCCTGACGAGAAGAGGGAACGGAGGCAGAAACAGGGACACAGAAGGAGGAGGCTGCGTGACGACACGGGCAGAGCCCGTGAGGACGCCGGGGACAACGCGGCCTGCGAGGCCGGGCGAGGCCCCGCCCGCTCCCTCCCTGGGACCGCGGGCCTCCGCGACAGCGACGGATAAGCGCCTGCTGTTTTAAGCCCCCTGTCCGCAGTGTTTTAGAGCAGCCCTAGGACAGTGACACGGAGTGCGACACGCCTCTCCCGGAGCCTGGACGGTGTGAGGGGACAAGGATGGCGGGGGGTGGTCCTCGGGGCAGTCTGTAAATCACGGGACCTCAGGCTGACCCAACCACCTCATAACTTGAACCTCTCATGGGACAGGGACCTTATATTTCCCACTGGGACACTGCGGACACCGCTGGAGAGCCAAGCTCCCCGAGCTTTCCTGAGCTCGGCCTCCAGCGAACGCTCACCGCGGGTCCTCGCGAGTCAACAGTTGCCACCGGGGCCGGCCGGCGGCTTTGTCACAGCCTCGCGCTGCCTGGTTCTCAGGAGAGCCCCCGAGGGAGGCCCGGAGACCTCCCACTCCCCGACTTACACATCGTGCCGGGCCCAGGGCTGGGCGTCAGACACGGGGAGCTCCGTATTTTAAAGGTTTGTCGTATAACCTCGGTTTTACGGGGCAGTCCCAGCAGCTCAGAGACATCAAGCCACGTCCCAAGGCCACACTGCTAGGCGATGAAGGAGGCCCTTGCCCTCCGGCCTTCCTGCCACCAGTTGCCAGGTCCCTTGCAGCTGCTCCCCTCAGACTGGAGAACTGGACTGGGAGGGACAGGCCCGGGGCCCTCGGGGGAGGCCTAGGAGGCCGGCTGAGGCCTGAGGCTGGCCAGTCCCTGGGCCCCACCCGCCCCCTGCTCTGACTCATCTCGCTTTGGCCATAACCCTGATGGGGGGCGGGGGGACACGCCAGACAGCGCTCACCCGGGTCAGGAAAACTTCCCGAAACCCAAACATTTTCTTTGGACCGAACTGCAGGCTGAAAGGACGCACCCTAATTACCGAGCTGCGCGGAGCTCGCGGGGCCTGGCTCTGGCACAGGCGGTCTGGGAGCCACGCTCCCGCGTGTCCTCAGGAAGCCTTTCCCAGTCGGCCGCCTCAAGGGGGCCTCCTGTCCCTGTCACCTGTCCCTGTCACCACCGCCAGCCTCAATCACCGTTCCTCAGGAAGCGAACAGGGGCTAAAGGCCAGGCAAGCCTTGCCCGAGGCCAGAGACCGCACGTCCCCCAGCACGGTGGAGGCGAAGCCCCCAGGGCAGGGGAGGGTCGGGAGGCTGCGGAAAACACACAGCCAGCCAGGGCCTCACCGACCACAGAGACCACGGGCCCGATCGGGTGACAAACCAGAGGAGAGCGTGGCGCCGGCCGTCTCCAGTAACTCGGACGCACGGGGCGTGCGGGCTCCGAGGTGTCCCCTCAACGCCCTGGCAGAAGCGGCTGTTCCCTCAGGCCCTGAGTGTGTTTTCCTCATTCGGTGTCCCCGAGAACCAACGCGAGGTGCCAGGTACACAGTAGGCGCTTAATACACGTGTGCTGGACAAAACCTCACACACAAAGCCAGGGCAGGGCCTGTCCCCGTAAACGCGGGGGGAAACAGCCAGGAAACAGCTAACGCACAGCGGCGTCTGTTCCCTGCCACGGGTCCCAACCCTCTCCACCGAGCAGCAAGCTGATTCGAGGGGACAGAATTCCGACGGCTGGGCTCCGGAGAGCAACGAATGTTCTCTTCCAAAATGTGGAAAATTAAGCCACCACACTCCATGCCTTTGGATCTGCCTCCCTTCAAATCAACGCCATTGTTCCGGCTCCAATCACTATCTCAGATCCGGGGCGTGACATGGGTTTTGTCAAGAGGGAAAATAGGACGTAGTTGCTTGGGTGAGGGGGAAAAAAAAGGAAGAAGAAGAAGAAAAAGATGGAGATGGAGATGGATAAAGCAGGAAGAGTACGGCGGGGCGGGCGGGGCGGGGGAGGGGAGGAGCCCGGTGCCTCTGCGGCAGAGTCGCGGGCGCGCTGACCCCTCGCTCGCTCGCTTGGGGACACTCACCCGCACCACCACCACCTGCACGGAGACGCGCTCTGGGAGCCGGATCGGGGCCCGGAAGTGCGTGGCCAGGGACACGAGGAGGTGGAGGGTGGCCACCAGGTTCTTCCCGTGAATTGCTGGTCGGGAGGAAGGAAGAAGGAGTTGCTTTAGATCCCGTGAAATAGGGTCCCCGAGCCCACGTCCGAAAGGCAGCGGAGACGCTGCGTCTAAACGAGACCTCGGGGAAAACCACGGGCAAACACCCGGGCCACAGGGAAATGGAGGGAGCCGGCCCGCTTCCCGAGGGACTTCGGTTCTCGTTTCGAGCTTTTTCTTTCCTGTCGGCCTAAGGTGACTCTTGGGACTACCTCGAAAAGCCTGATGCTTCTAAAAGGAGTCCATTGGGTGAGGATAAGAAGAAACGGGCAGGAGAGTAAAATTAGCACAAGAGAAGGAAAATGATCACAAAAAAAAAAAAACAGGTCATCCCGGCCACGTAAGTCATCGCGATAATGCGCATTATCATCTCTGGCCCTTGAAAAGTTCTCCCTCTCTGCAATCGACTGTCTCCGTGAAGGTAGGCGATCGAGGGCCACGGTGCTTTGGGGATGTGAGGTGGGCCTCTTCCGTGCCGGGGTCCCGGGGCCGTCCCCAGCTCTCCAGTGCGTGGACCAGGTGTGGTTATCACGTGCACACTGTGCAGTTTACGAGGCACTCGATTCTCCACGTACAGCCTACGACGTCAGCCTGGGTCTGTCCGAGGACTCGATGCCAAAAATCCGGGGGCAGATGCCACGGCAGCCACCGGGGCCGCTCCCCGGGCAGGGGGAGCCTCTGAGCCATGCCAGGACTGCCCCGCCTGGAGGATGAGGGACAGGGGAAGTGACGCCAGGACAAACGCGTTTCCAGCTTCCCTTGGTACAATTCTTCACCTTCCCAGGTCACGCTTTGGCTGGAGATTCGGTGATGTCTCACATTTCTGGGACACAGTCCAGAGGCCAGCGTGACCTGCTCCCTGAGGCCCTGCTTTGGTGGGTCCTCAGTATGACAGCTCATCTGGTATTGTTGCCTTCGGTATCTGGGGTTGGAGCCCTTCCAAGAACCCCACAGAGCTTCTCCTGGCTTATAACCTGAACTCCCATCCTTCTTCTGGAAGTCTTCCGTGATCCACCCAACCAGAAAAGATGCCCCTTCATTCTGAAGCTCATGGGGCAGGGTGAGGGGACAGAAAGAATGGTAGGCATGGCTTGGTCCCTTCTCTAGGGGACACTGGCTTTTCCCTTCCTAGTTCCCTCTCACAGAGTGGGAGCGCGAATGGGGTTTCTTAATGCAAGGCTAGAGCCGATGACAAACGACCTTGTGAACGGGCCCCACTCCCCAGCGGCCACTCACAGTCCACGGTCCACTGCAGCGCCCAGCCGTGGGGTCGAAGCAGGTCATGCACTGTTTCCAGCACCGTCTGCAGCTTCTGTTTCTGTCCTATCTCGGACTGTGTCACCTCGGCCACATTCAGCTTGCAGCCCGCCAGTTTTTCTACAACGAGGACAGGAGAAAAATGGTAGAGTGTCAGGAAAAGCTGGAGGGACACAGGGCCAGTCGCCTGGTCAACTGTCTCCTCGGCCGAGTCCCAGAGGGGAGCAGGTCACCCACAACCACGGGGAGCTGGCAGGATGCGGAACACAGAACTCTGCACTTTCAAGTTCATCTTCCTTAGCCGATCACTCCACAATGAAAAGGGGGTGGGACGCGAGGTTAAAGCTGTGGGCAGAAAATGAACGAAATGATGCACGGTGCTGTGGGCTGAGCTGCCGGGGTGGGCAGGGAGGTGCGGAGGCTGTGCCAGGCTTCCTGGAGCGGGGAGGACTTTGACAAGAAGATGGAAAAGGTCTGACGTGTTGCCCACCCCAACCCCGGCACGCTCAGGCCCCCACCCTTGTTGCTCCAACACTCGGACACCAGGACGAGAAGGACAATTACATAGGCACAGATACCTGCGGCTGTCATTCCCCAGGGGAGCAGGAAGCAACCTGGAGGAGCCGGACAGGAACGGTCACATCTGCCCGAGAGTCAGTCACCGGGACTGAGAGCCAGCTGCGGCCCGTGCACCCTCATTTCCCTCCCACACTTGGGCCCCCACCCGTGAAGGCGCCAGGCTGGGACGCGCCCTCCGGTTGGTTCCCTCCCATTCGTTCGCTCTAAGACTTGGTGTCTCTTGCAACACCATGGAAGTGACGCAGCAGAAAACCGTGACATCGCTCACGGAGAGGTGACTGCGAGGTGCTGGGGGCAGAGCCTGCTTCGCCGCACGCCCTCGGCTCAGAGCGGCTGTCGGCGGCCGGCTCGGAGGGCGGATTTTAAAGCTGTCCTGTCACATCACCGTAAAGGCGGGTCGCCCGTGGGCTGCTGCCTGGCAGGCGGGCCCCAGCCAAGTTCCGTTTCAGGCATTTTCGCCGGAAGTGTCTGCTACGTCAATGTTCTCTCCCCGTGTCCTTCCCTCCCTCCGTTAGAACAAGGATACCCACTTTCGACATTCCCTGGAGGATGCTGTCATTATGCGGCAATGCCTGCTGGGCTTAGGATCCTGCATTCATTCACGCGTGCGTGCATGCGTGCATTCGCTCACGGCGTGGTAACTGAGCACCTACTACGCACCAGGCACTGTCCGAGGGCTGATACGGCACAGACCGGAGCGGGGCTGAGCGGGGAGACGGCCTCAAACAGCGGCAGCGTGGGGAGCAGGGAGCACCAGGGCGAAACGGGAACCCAGTGAAAGGCGCCCCGTGGAGGAAGGGCCCCCTCGCTTGTCCCTTTTGATTTCCCTCCATCTGTAGCTGAATAATCCACAGCTGTCTCTCCAATGAACACCTTGAAAATACAGAGCAGGTCCCCAGGGGTTCAACAGCCAGGGAGAGAGCAGAGCGGGGGCCCTTGGGGAGAGCCAGTGGTCCGAGAGGCCCTCCCACTGGGAGAGACGGGGAGCCCGGCGTGCCTCTGCTGTCCCCCAGCCAGCCCTGCAGACTAGACACAGCCGGTCACCAGGTGGAGGAGGATGGGCAGAAACTGTATTAGTCTGCTCAGGCTGCGGGAACAAAGCACCACGGACTGGGCAGCTTAAACAAAGGGAATTTACTTCCTCACAGTCCCGGAGGCGAGACATCCAAGTTCAAGGGGTCTGTCCCTGTGTCCTCCCACGATCGTCCCTCTGTGTGTGTCTGCGTCCTGCCCGCCTCCTCTTACAAGGACGCCAGTCAGGTGGGCTTAGGGCCCACCCCGGTGACCTCACGTAACTTAGTCCCCTCTTTAAAGACCTTGTCTCCAAACACAGTCACATTCTGAGTCCTGGGGCGAGACATCAACATAGGAAGTTTGGGGGAACACGCTCAGCCCATCACAGGGCCCAGGAGGCTGGCCGTGCCTGGGAGCTGCCTGAGGCTGGGTCTTCGGTGACTATACTAACGTGTGAAGGGGTGCAGGAGCAGTTCAAGGCTGTGCCATGGCCAGGACCCCCATCTTCCTAGCACGGAAAGATGGGGTGGATTCTCAAGGGTGGCAGGCAAACGGGCGAGGGCTGAGCTGCGAACGCTCGTCATACGAGGAAGGGCCCTGCCTTTGGCACAGAGAGGGACGTGCCCATCAGCCAGAAGCAGGACAGCAGCTACCTGGAAACCCCTTCCAGCCTGGGCACCCCCCTCATCCCACCAACGGTCCACCTTGGGAGTGATGCTGCAGACCTGAAGTCATGCCCACCACGTGGCAGAGGGCCCAACAGCTACTTCGGAATCTGTTCTCGAGAAAAAGAACACACCTAGGGTCCTGGTGGTGACCAAGTGCAGAGGTCCATTCTCTTCCTCATCTCCCTTACTCCCGCCTTCTCTATCCCCCCCGAACACAAAGCTCCCCTGCTTCCCCCTCCCTCACCCTGGACCCTTCACATCCTCCGCTGCCTCTCTTCCTCCTGACCTCTGAGGGCTGACCGCCCAGGGCCCAGTGCTCAGACCTCTTCTCTCTCTACAGATGTACCGGAGTCAGCTTTGGCCTCGACGCTCGGCCAAAATCGATTCCACTTTGGCTTCTGCCTTTGGAAAGCCGAAGAGTCGGATGCCTGCGTCCTGCCATTCCTGGCATCCCTGGGCTCGGGGACCACGTGGTCACGTAAGCTGCATCTCATCAGTGTCATGTCATTAACAAGACCAGGCAAGACATTCCGATGTTCCGTTAATAGTCTCCCCCACTGTTCTTTCCCTCGGCCAGACAAAGGGGTGCGTCCACCCGCTCGACGCACGAAACATTCCAGAGTTGCCTCATCAAGCACTTATGCGAGATGCTCACACAGGATGGCTTTGCAGCTTCTCCGTGACAGAAAGGCCACCCGAGCCACGGTCAGCATCCTGTTCTGCTCTCCAGACAACACACCTGCTGTGACACGACTTCCTGACAACCGTCCCTCTCCTCCAGGGAGGGCACTGGGCTCACGTACGGGCGACCAAGGCCGAGATGCAGGCGCAAATTCACGGCCCGGCCCGTCATCCTGAGAGCCGGTTACAGTTCCACGGCCACGGTGCTGGACCTAAGGCTCGGGGACCCTGGTTTTCCGCCTGATTGGGCAAAGCCACAGGTGGATGCGGAAGAACTGGAAAGAAAAAATGTGAGTGCGACACCCTGAAGTTTCCTTCTGAACATATTAGGAAACATCTCCGTTAGGCAGTGAGTGGAGCACCAGCTAAAGGGACTGTTTCACGGGCATCATCGCTGACGGCAAACTCTTCAAGTCCAAGAGTCCGTCGACGAGCAGCGAACGCTTTACCGCGAGAGGGAGGAGAGCCGGCGCCCCGGGGCTGCCTCGCCACAGGTCAGCCCAAGGTCGATGCTCCTCCAGCCCTCACTGCTGAAAGTCAGCGTCCTTTCGTCGCACATGTCTGCTTCGATGACCTCAAGAGCCACCTAGAACCTGACAGTACCCAGAATGGCCACACTGACGCTACAGCACGAGACGTCAAAACTCTGACTGACATTTTTAATAACAAAGTTCTCATAACTGCTAAACGATCTTGGTAACATTTCGGACTTATTCCTGTACAACGGAAGCTCATTCTAAGATGCGGGTTCTCGGCTCAGCCAAAGAGAGATGTAAAATAACATTTTGGACTTATTCCTGTACAACGGAAGCTCATGCGGGTTCTCGGCTCAGCCAAAGAGAGATGTAAATTCTTGGCCACTCAGCTTACTGACAGGTAACGAATCCGGAGCGCCCTCTCCAGGTCAGGCCATCTCATCTGGTCCCATGGTGTCAACCGTCACCTCTGCTCTGAGCGCTCCAGCCGGACCCCACGGCTGACTCAGGTGAGAGGGGCATCTCACTCCACCCCATGCTACCCCCGAGGGCTCCCTCATCGCCCACTGCTCAGACCATAAACCCTGGCGTCGGCCTCAGGCCTCTGGCAGCTTTACCCTCAAAAGATCCTCCACGTCTGCACTTTCGTCCCAGCCCAAGTCACTTCATTTGATGCCTGGGCCGCTGTGGCCGCGGCCTGAGTGATCCCCGGGCTCTCGGCCCTGACCCTCCTCCCGCTTCATCTGCACCCAGAAGCCCAAGAGACCTTTAAAACAAACTTGGATCATGCCACGGCCCTGCCCAAAGCCTCTGCTGGCTTCCTGTCGTTTGAAATAAAAGCCTGTGTCTACTAAGGCTGGACGCGGTCTATCAGGCCCATGCCACCTTCCCAGCTTGCAAACATCCTCTCTCTCCCTCTCCGTCTGTCTCTGTCTCTCTCTCTGTCTCTCGCTCTCTCTCTCTCGCCATCACCAGCCCCCCACCCCCACCCCAACTCTCAGCCCCTGCTCTTAAACACTGCAGACTCCTGCCCTTCACAGTCTCAGCCTGGATGGTCTTCTGACTCTATGCAGATGCCCGCGCAGAGGCCACCGGCCTAAGGGACTAATCCTGACCGCCCAGTCCCTCCCCGGCCCGCTGCTCTTCACCGTAACCCTCTGACTTTCCTCCTAAGGCTGTCACTCTCTTTAAGCATCTATTTGTGTTTGGGGTTGAACCACCCCATAATACGTCTCCTTCTTCCCTTCGCCAGAATGTGCCACGGGTGGGTGAGGGGGACCACCTACTTCTGTGTCCTTAGAGCCTAGATGCACGCCTGCCACACAGCAGGCCAATGAATCTTTGTTCCACAAATGAAGAAATGACCAAAACAAACATGAAATGTTTTCCCTCCAAATGTACTTTTTTGAGAATTGGCTGAATAAGGACAAACTGATGTGTGGGCCACCGATCACTGTGTCCTTCAGTGTGACACGGTTTCCCTCCCCACACCCTGTTCGGTTTCTCTCCAAGATCAGATGGTCTGTGAGAGTCATGTGCTGAGCGTGCAGGCCCCATGCTGAGCGTGCAGGCCCCGTGCTAAGCGTGCACACCCCGTGCTGAGCGTGGAGACCCTGTTTTGAGTGTGGAGACCCCGTGCTGAGCGTGCAGGCCCCGTGCTAAGCGTGCACGCCCCATGCTGAGCATGGAGACCCTGTTTGGAGCGTGCAGGCCCCGTGCTGAGTGTGCACGCCCCGTGCTGAGCGTGCACGCGCTGTGCTGACTGTGCAGACCTGGCCGGGAGGGATGCGGATGCTGAGCCCAGGCGGCAGGACCACAGTCTATGAAGATGCAGACGCCACGCTCTGTGGTTCCAAGGTCACCCCTCCTCGGGTGCTCCTCTCCCACCCCGGCCCCCTCCTGTCTGCTTTACCTCAGTATCTCTCTCTCCTGAACAGAGCCCCCCAAAACCTCGGGTCCCTGACTTAGTGCCCCGCAACACATCCCTGCAGCAGCCTGGACTCAGCAGCAGTCACCTCTGTCACAACTACAAAGGAAGCCTGGTCCCACCCCGGCTTGCCAGCCCCACCCAGTGCTGGGGGCGGGGTCTCCTGTGGACCTTTAGGAAGTGTGTTATCCCACCTACAAGGGGGTACTCAGTCCTCGAGGCCACCCTCACAGAGCATTTTGGACCCCGAAAATACAACGGAGCTTCCTGAGGACGAGAGCTGTTCAGCAAGCACCCCGTCCCTTCCGGGGTCCTCGGATGGGGCCGAGGCCAAGAGACGCTGACGAATGCTGTTTCCTGCAAAAAGAGCCCATGACCCTGGAGACAAGGGGACTGCGGGGCGCTCCGCACGGGCTCGGGCGGCACACAGCGACCGCGTGCCTGTCGCCCAGAGGAACGCGAGGCCGCAGCACCCCTGCCCCTTCTTTGCATTTTTTTGTCTCTTTTAAAAACTACCACTTATTGATCCCAGCGAGGGCGGCCACCACCTAGACCGGGCCAGCGCTGCACCGTGCCCCACGTCCATGGGTTCTGGAGGAGCTGTGACGGTCCCCAGGCCACAGACACGAAGAGAGCTGCCTGCCATCGGTCTGCAGTCCATGCCGCTCCTTCTCCCCCTCCCCAAACCACGCCCCACTCACGAAATATCTGCCGTGGACAGGCCTGCCCCGCCCCTCCCTTCCCAAAGGAGCTGCGGGGCCTGAGGCACTCGCAGGGGACGAGGGACAGGGCACAGGCCGGCAGGGAGGGCTGACCCGGTGGAAACAGTGCCCATTTGCACCCCATCTCCGTGCCCCTGTTGGGCGCGTGTATGCAACGGCACAGCAGCTGCAGGTGCTTCTGGAAGCTGTGCGTGACCTGCTGCAGCCCTGCGGCTGGGCGCTCTGGGGAGCAGCGAGAGAGAGGACAGGCACCTGAAGCCCAGGGCCCAGGGGACACCACCGGGGAGCCATGGGCTCAGGGCTGTGGCTTTAGACGACGACTGTCAGACCACGTGACCAGGGCTCGTGTCCAGCCCCGAGGCCGCCCAGCGCTGCGTCCCTTTGCGAGGTGTGGGGCCGGGGGCCGAGGAGGCCACGCTCCCTGCCGACTCACCCAAGAGCTTCTGCAGCACCTGGCCATCGTAAAGGTCCTCCTCCAGCTGCTTCACGATGATTCTCTCCTCCACGAGGACGTCGTTGATCCAGTCGGTGAGGACCTGGGGGAAACGCAGGCGTCACCACCACGGCCACCACGGCAGGGACCAGAGCCGGTGCAGGAACCGAGCTGCCCGCGGCCCGGGGGACCAGGCCGGGCAGGGCCGGAAGGGCACGCTTCTCCCAGCCCGCAGGGTGGGGCCGGGGCGTGGGGCTCACCCACCCCAGCTTGTCAGGCAGTCCTGTGGGAATTCATGTGACCCCAACAGAGGTTCAGCCACTGCCTAGACTGGGCCTCCCCCTGGCAGGAACTCGGGACAGTGGGGGACTCTCAGCCAGAGGAAGTGGGGGTGCCTGGTGGGGGGTTAAAGGAGCAACTGTTGGCAGCCCTGTCCATCATGGCCCAAGGCAGTGCAGGCAGGCCTGTCCCCTCCCCTCCAGGATCTGCACCAAAACAGCCCCGGGTCACCCTGAGCCTGAAGCCGCAGAGAAAAGGGACGCCTATGCCCCCTTACCGACAAGCTCCACGCCGCCCTCTCCAGCAGCGGCGTGCAGGATACTCACAAAGTGCGGCAGCCATCACCGCCATCGACTGAAGAACACTTCCATCCCCCCCAGAGAAGCCCGCACCTGTTAGTACTCACTCCCTGCTCCCCACACCCCGTTTCTTCCAACCGCTTAACTATTTCCTCTGCCTACGGATTTGCCTGCTCCGGACCTTTTCTCTGAATGGAATCACGTCCCGTGTGACCTCCTGTGTCTGGCTTCTTTCGCGCACGTGAGGCTTTCGAGGTTCATCCGCCGGCAGCACGTGTCGCTCCTTCGTCCCTCCTCACGGCTGAATAATGTCCCGTTGGATAAACACGCACATTGGACCGATCCACGCACCGGCTGACGGACACTTAGGCTGTCGCCCCTTTCGGGCTGTTGTGGAAAAAGCTGCTGTGGACGTGGGTGTCTGAGGCTTCACCCGGACTCCTGCTCCCTTCTCTAGGCCAGGCTTCCTCTCAAGCCTTTTCCCAACAGCTTTTTCCATTCTATCCACTGGTGATCGATTATAAAAGGAGATAACGTCGATCGGCTGAACGGAATTCCATTTGGCCGATGTCGCTCAAGGCACTTCTTCTCCACAAAAGAGAACGGACAGCTGAACGGATCGGCTCCATCAAAAGCATACGAAGTCCCTGATTTTCCTGAACAAGCGAAGCTAATAAGACTATCTCATCGGGCCCAATAACCTCTAAGAAGTGGAAGCCGATTGCCCCACTAAGAGAGAGACGAAAGGACACGAATCCCGAACACACTGTTCTTTCTCCGTCGCTCTGGGACACACGCAGCCTGCCAACCTGGCCGCGGAGCAGATTTCTGTGAAGTATATTCTATTTTCCCACTAACTCAGAAAGGTTCGATCAGACACACAATCCCACGAAGAACAGAAGTAAAAATAAATTCAAGGAAGGTTTGGAGGAAGAAAGAGGTGAACGGCCCCACGGCCTGCTGGTTCCGTCAAAGCCGTGCCCCAAACGCCAGCAGGATGGAGCCGGGCCCCCCGCCCCGGGCCTCCCTGGGCAGCGCGGGAGAGAGCACCGCCCGGTACCGGGCCACCAGGCCCTCCCCGCCAAGCCGCCTCCCCTCCCTTCTAGCTTCCTGGGGGGTCCTCCTTGTCAGCCCTTCTCTTCCTGATCTTTAATGCCATGTTCCTGAGGCCATGCCCTGAGCGACCCCTCTTCTCACTGTGTCCTCTCTTCCCAGGCCAGCTCCTGCCCCCGCTCACCACCCCCGACCCCGTGATTTCCAAGGCCACCCCCCACCCGGAAGGCCGAGGCGCACAGCCCCGCCTCTGCTCAGGTGTTCCATTGGCTCTGGTAACAAAATCCTCCCCGCAACCCTGCTCTTTTCCTGAGGGAGAAACAGGACACCATCTACCAGCTTCAGAGCCCCGCTACTTCTGCCTCCTCCCTAGCTGGGTCCACTCCTCGCCACCTCCTGTCCCACCGCCCTTGTCCAAAGCAAACCCCCGGACCAATGCCACAGCCCCAACTGAGCGCCCTGGCTCCTCACTGGCGTTGTCAAATACCGCAAGCTCGCCTCTGCCCCAGGGCCTTTGCACGTGCTGGTCCTGGCATCCGGAACTCCCCACTGCCTGTCAGGCTCTTACTCGTCCTTCACGCCTCAAGTCTCGGCACCGTTCCATGACCGCCCCCTCCACCCGGGCCACATGACTCCACCGCGGCTCACCGTACCCACGTGCCTGTTCCCTGACCCTGTTTGCGGCTGCAATGCGGACACATCTTTGTCCTGATCTCACAGAAGGTGCTCACACCAACTGCAGAGCTGCCTGCAGACCTAAGAAGGTCTGTGGCCCACGCAGACATCTGGCCCCAGAGGCTGTCTTGCCCAGGGCGGAATCTTATTGGAAAACGCCACACAGAAACTGTTTCTGCTGGGAAGAAACTAGCTCTGCAACAATTCCCTCTGGATCTCTGACCTGGTCAAAGCCCAGATACAAAAACCGCAGACGGAAGCGGGTGAAAACGAAACCCCTCTCAATGGGCCAGGGGGGCAGCTCCGGGAAGCAAACGCAGTCCGCCCCCGGACACCTCCTAGTACGTCCCAGGTCACCCGTCTGCATTCTCTGTTTCACAAGCCTTTTTAAAGATAGCACTAGTCATGATTCCTAGGGATGTCCTCATTTGCAAACCCCGGATCCTGCGGGCAAATATCTAGGGCGTATCTTAACAATGCCCTCGGCGCCGTGCCCTTTGCACGCATGCTTCACGAGCCTGCAGCCTGTCTCTCCCCAAACTATGACAGCTATGTCTTCATCACTCCCCAGCTGGCAAGTCACTACTGAATCCTGGGAGGCCACAGGCTCGGTGCGATCGGCAGGAGGCTGTCCCACCGGGCAGAGTCGCCAGAACACGCCACGGGACGTCACCACGTGCTCTCGAAGCACCACCTTCCCCCAGAGGAGCGTTCTCACGTGCTGATTTTCATTATGGAAAAAGGGAAGACGAAAACAGAACTTAACAACCAGGAAGAGTCTTGTCCAACAGACTGGGAAATGAGCTGTGACATCTGCCCCTGGAGAGAAAAGTGGACGCCAATGACAACACGGTCAGCACTTGGGACCAACGTGCTCTCGAGTGCAAAGGCCTCACTCCGGCTATTCATTCCGGGAAGCACGAGAATTGCCATCCCCCTTTCGGAGATGCTTAAAAATACAAAGTATCTCATCTCTATCCCGCTATGGGCCCAGGCAGCACAAGCTGTTCCCCTGTCAGTAACTCACGGCGCTTCTGGCGCTTCTGGAAGATGCTACAGAAAATGGCGACAAGACAAAACACCAGCAAAGAAGACTTAGGGTGCGTCTTTCGGGCTCTTGAACCCACAGGCTACTTGTGTCACGTCTATTTTTTTTTTTTAAGGCGTGGCAACCCTCGGTTGACCTCACAGATTGCAAGGACCTTGTCAGTTTACAATCCCTTATTTATTATTTTTGTTTGATTGTTTTTACGCCTACAGCACCTGGTCTTCCTAGGTGGTCTCCCATCCAAGTACTAACCAGGTCTGACAAGGAGGTGGCCTTGCTGAGGCCTACTCAGATTTAATCAGCCAGGACCTTGGATGATCAGAGTCTACAGCACAGGGTAAATATCCTGGAAAGCAGTAAGAATCACGCGGTGAAGAGGACGAGGTGTCTTGTCTGGACCACCATGGCCGGTGCCCAAGGAGTGCCCTGGGACCACCGGCATCGGTATGCCCAGCCCCCATTCCACGCCCCTCCCAGAGCCCCTTTTCCCAAAATTTGGATCTTGTAGGTGAAAAAGACCAGCCTTGTCTTTAAGACTCATGCCCCCTTGGGCGGTTCTGACGTGGAACCTCACATTGGCACTGCCAAGCCAACGCACGCATCCGACACGCGTGACTCAGCCAGCTGCGTGCGGACAGGCCTCCGGGTTCAGCCGTCAGTCCCTGACTGCACAGGGATTATATTCTAGAGGGAGGAATAAGTCCCCGACCAACGAGTAAACATACAACGGTTCCAGGCAGCGAGAAACTCATGAGGAAATGCAGCCAGGGCAAGCGTGTGGGGCGGGGACGTGGCACGGGCAGACGGAGGGGCCGGAGAAGGTGCTGTGGGGGGAGCATCGAGGGACAACCGAGACGTGGAGGACACTGCTCCAGGCAGGGGGCCGCAGGTGCAGAGGCCAGGCACCCTGCAGAATCTAAAGTCGCCCAAAGAGCAGTCTGGGCCCCGGGCAGTGACCTCTAAGCCCCCAGAGTGGCCTGCTGGATGAAAGCATCTTGGTTTATGTGGACGCCTTGGGATGGCCAGAGGGGGTCAACGTGGCTTAGGGTGGAGGCTTGGGGTCATGCTCTGTCTGTTCCAGCTCGAGGCTGGAGACAGGTCGGCCACGAGGGCCGTCAGCCACGCCTACGAGATGGCACCCCAATGAAAACCTTGGACCACAAGGATCAGCAGCTTCCCTGGCTGGGGCTGCTCCTCGAATATTGTCACGTTGCTACCGGTAAGTGACACTGGCCAGGACCCCTTGGGGAGAGGACAACTGGAAGCCCTGCGTTCCGTGCCCTCTCGGGCCCTGTGCCCTACGCCTCCCACTTTGGCTGGTTTTAACCGTGTCCTCTCGTACACATGAACCATAACGGTGGGCATGACAGCACTTGGTGAGTTCTGGGGGCCCTAGTGAATCACCAAACCCATGGGTCCTCTTGGGGACATCATGCAATCCACTGACGGAACAAAAAGGCACGAGAAGGATGGATCCACCCTCTCTCGGCCTGTGTGCATGAGCTGGGACACTGACCTCTCGTCCTCAGCTCTCTGGCCTTCGATCTACACCACCAGCCCCTCTGGGGCGCCACCGTGCAGATGACAGATTATGGGACGTCTCGGCCTTCATCGCCATGTGAGCCAATTCCTTATCATAAACCTCAATCTATAGAGATGGACAGACAGACAGACAGAGATCCATATGCCCTGGCTCTGTTTCTCTGGAGAACCCTGACAAATTCAGTGGAGACTCCTCCTCCTCCTCTGCTTAACTTAACTGTCCCTCGTGAATGACATTCTGGTGGCTGAAAGGCAGGGTCGCTTTCCTCGCTGACCTTCTTCTGTTCAAGATAACAAAGTGATGATCAGAGGGGAAAAAATCTTAATAAAATAAACTAAGATTCGGCATTTTGGAGTGGGCCCTAGAACTGACATTTTCAATTTCCGCTTTTAAAAGGACGCACCTCGAAAAGGTCTCCTTTACCCTGAATCGGCCCTCGTGCAAACACAGCTGTGTGCCTCGTCAGGCCCCACAGCGGCAGTTAAGGCAAACGAACTTGTAAAAAAGCATTTTAGTAGAATAGGTCTGTCTGTGACACACACTGTCATTAAAAAAAAAAAAAAAAAAGCCCCGGTCACCTGAGCTGGCCACGGGCTGTGGGAGCAAAGCCATGTCCACGGCCGCCTGCACCAGAGCGGGCACCGGATGGACAGGGAGAGGCCTCTGCTCCTCGGGACGACTGTCCGAAGCCCTACTGTGGTTCGGATAGGAGCCGTCACACCTGTCACCCACGCTTAGACAGGACAAACGCTACGGATAAAGCCAGAGCTTACAGACCGTGCTGGGAAGGAAAAGCTGTCGTGGCTGCCACAGAGACGCCGCAGAGCCAGCTGCCGGCTCTCCCGTCCTGGCTTCCTCGGCCTCGGCGGCCATGAATAATGTGGCCATCTTCTTGTCGGGCTGGTACCCACTGCAGAAACTGACCGTCCACCCAGAGCAGGGGTGCCAGCATCAGACAGTTCCTCCTCAGGAGCGGCCAGAGGGGTCACGTGTGCCCATGGTTCGGAGCCACCTTTGAAGCCCCCATCACGCTCTGGAAGGAGTCTGCGCCCCATTTGCAAAGTCCCGCGACAGTTCACGCCGGTGGGTCCTTCCACCCAGGGCAGAGCATTGGCCGGCGGTTTAGAGGCCCCAGTGGGGCTGGACACCTGGGAGGCAGGTGCTTCCCGCTGTGACCTTGACCCCTTCCACGGCTCCCTTCAGCCTCCTCGCCCGCAGGTCCCTCCGCCTGACGCAGCCTTGAGGCCCCTTTTACCAGCCTGCCGGGTTTGCTCCTTCTGCCACGAGAGCCTGACCCCCGAAAGCTTCGCCCCAACAGATGCATTCCAACCAAACCCCTCCTCACCTTGACCAGCTCCTTGAATCTGGGGTCATCCTTGGAGGTGGGGTCGATCATCGTGCGCTCCTCGTTCTCCTCTGCCGAGGACAAAAGTCAGGGTCAGCGTTTGCGGGAGCGGCAGGCACACCGGGGCCTCGGGGCGGGGGGTGGGGACCAGCATCCTTGCACAAACGGGGAGATGGGCCGAGAGCAGAGAACCTCGTCATTTCCTCAGCAAGGATGAGCCAAACGGCCCCACGTCCGTTGTGTATCAAGTCACACAGCCCGGGGCGGGTAGGTGACCACAGTAACTGCCCCCACCCCAAAGGCAGACGGGGCAACCTGACACCTTCCCTTCCTCCTGAAGGGGACACGGTCACCTGCTGTCATTCTGCTGGCCTCGCCCCTTGCCGACTCCCATCTTTTGGGAGAATCTCTGGGACGGAGCAACGCACACGGGCCTGAATCGGATCCACGGGGAAAGCTGGCCGCGGCCACCATTAATAAACACAGGAAGAGGTGCCATTCACCGAGAAAGCCCGCCACTACGTAAAATAGTAGAGAACACAAAGAAATAGAAAGAAAAAACAAAAAAAAAAAAAGAAGAAAAAAGACGATGCTTCACAGCAAAATGTGTTCATCCGTATTCGGTTTCTGTTTGTTTGTTTACCTGTTTGTTTTCCCTCTGTGTTCTGGCCTTGATTCATGGACAACGGGGGACAGCGGAAAGGGTGACACGGTGACAACAAGAGAGGGGCCCACAGGGGACAGAACTGACCCGGCCAACGAAGAAGAAACAAAAGAGGCCGCATGGGGGCGGCAGGCAGGGGCCAGGCTCATAGGACATGCAAGAGCAGGTGACCGGGAAGCGGCAGAGACCAGGGTCCCGGCCCAGACAGGCTCCCACAGAGCTGGGGACCCTGTCCGCGTGGCTGGGAATGAGCCGGCTTTGAGGGACGCTGGCCTCACAGCAGCAAATTTTAAAACTCAACAAGGTGGAAAAACTATCTTTGGAGTTACGCAAACCGGACGCTCGAGAATGATGCTCCAGGTCACACACACGAGGCGACCACGTGAGGGTCCCGGGCGATGGCCATAGCCAGGCTACTCCCGGGGTCGAGGCCCGCATCCCGTGCGGCCTCCGCGGCCCTCTGCAGCCTCGTTTCCCCAGCCCTTCCAGCCTCCCCTCGCTCCTCGGCCAGCCTCCCCGCCGCCTGCCATGGGGCCTTGGCTTGTGGTGCCCCCTGTCTGGCAGCCCCTCCCCACTCCCCAGCCCTTCACCCTTCAGAGCTCAACTTCAGGCGCTGACCAGGACTCAAGAGCGTCCGGGCCCATGGACCCTTACGAAGCAAACTGGAGAGTGTCGCCAGCCAGGCTTAAGAGCAGCTCCTTAGAAAGCGAGTGAGACAGGGAGGGCCGCGGCCCAGAGAAAAGCAGGTCGAAGACATCACGGTTGAGATGACGGCCTGCCACACGGGAAGAGGAATCTACTTTCTAGGCCCGTCAGTCTAAAGCAGGGTTCTCAACCAGGAGTGACTGTGTCCCCCACCCCGCCCCAAAGGACGTGCAGCAATGTCTGGAGACACTTTTGGTTGTCCTAGCTGGCGGGGGGATGCTCCCGGCATCTCGTGGGTAGAGGCCAGGAGGCCAATCACAGCCCACAAGGCACAGGGCGGCCCCCACAAGGAGGACTCGTCCGGTACCAACTGCCCACGGTTCCGAGGCAGAGAAGCCCTGCTCTAACGCAGACTGAGTCCCAGACCCACGGGCTGGTCCCCAACTTCCCCTCGGACAGTGACCCAGGCCCATCCTCCTGGACGGCAGCTTCGGCCATACTGAAGACCATCGACGATGGCAACGGTGCAGAGTCACGCTCTGCCACGAGGAGAAGCAGAAACCGCAGCGGCACCTGCGGGCCCGCAGGGGGTGCGGCCAGCACTTGGCTTCGGGTCGGCCCGGCTGGACGTGCGTTTGCCTTTCTTCTCTGCAAACGCTGCTGGCCTGGTCTTGTCATGGAGACCGCCACAGAGGGTCAGTCAGGCCTTCCCTTGGAACCGGGGTTTGGAAATAAATGGAATGCTCCACGACTGCCTTCCAGACTGATCAGCTCCCAAAACACGCCTTAAGGAAAATGTGTCCAGGCTGTCACCTCATTAATGCCAGCTATGACGTGGCCCCAAGAAGTGGGTCCCACTTGGCGGGTCTCACGCAGCCAGCCCCAGGCCTTAGGGCAGCTCCAGCTGGCACAGAGATGGGGGCGTATGATCGTGTTTCCCATTCTCTCTATTTTCTGATGCTTAGACATCTTGGGGCCTTGTGGACCTGTAGAGACTGCGCCTCCCAGGGCTAGGCATTTCCAAGAGAGCCAAGACCCGCCCCTGCGAGTGTCTTTCACGCACAAACCATCCAGAGCTCGTACCCTGGCCACCTCTATAACTGGGCTCAGACAGTCTCAGCCGATAGCCTCTGCCTGATCACCGCAGGACCAGATACAGACAACTCAAGATGGCTGCTATGCCCGGAGCCCACGGTAATCATTCAGAGCAGCCGATCCTAAGCCTGCCTACCCCACCCGCCCCATTCCTGCCCATGGAAACCACAGGAAGCTTCTGCCTAGACTTCCCCTCACTCCCTCGGCTTCCCGCCCGACCCTGGGGCTACCCCGTGTGGCCCCACCTGGCCTGGCATGGCGTTTCCCCCACCGCGGGTGCCGTGAGTATAACAAACTGTCTCTCAAATGACAGTCATCTCTTGATCCGATGGCCTCGCCAAACCAACACAATAATAAGACTTATATTTCTAAATCAGAGAGGGAGAAATCGACTTGCCGTTTCCTGCAGACTTGTCTACACAGCTAAGAGCCCGGATTCTCAAATGCCACCCGCTGTGATGTCTGATCAAAAAGCCGTCACCGTCACACCCCTCTGTGGCCAACACCAAGTGACGCCACGGGAGCACAGCTGTCCCACGAGAAGGAGTTGGCGGAACCCACCGTACCTAGCAGGGTCTCCTCGGGGTGAAGATCCACCGAGGCCGGGGACAGTGGCGAGTTGATGGCATTTTTGCCTTCTTCCTGCAGGTCACTCACTGTCAAGCAGAAAGAAAAAGAAATGGTTAGTGTACATGGCAGACCAGGGCATCACATGCTGGCCGCGGAAACAAAGGGAAATCGACGCCTGTTTTTTTAAGCATTTAACAAACATTCCTAAATGGCTCGCCGCCCAGACAAAGTCTGAGGAAAAAACGATGCGAACCGAGAATTCGTTCCGCAATTCTTCCCCTCGCCAAACGTTTCCGATCCCCGCCGAGCCCTGCCAGCCTGTTGTCACTGCTCTTTGGAATACGTGACTAAGACAAAGAAGCTTCTGGATGCTTCCAGATCTGCCCAAGGCTGCTGGGATGGACAAGGCTCGGATCACAGCGACAGGGCCCGAAAAGCCGAGGCCGCCCTCCCCTCTCTGGAGAGCTGCATCCCACACCGCGGACCATGGCTGCGGAGGCCCCTCCCGACACGCGCACCGGCAAGTCCAAAATTTAAAGCGGTGCCACTGTGGACGGCCATGTTCATGGGGACAGAATCCTGATGGCCTGAGGACAGGTGACCCCAGGGTTGGGAGCACTAGAACCTGCAACAGAATCTAACAAACCAGATGCAGAGGATTCGAGTCGGAAGCGCCAGGACCCCCTGAACAGAAAGCACCAGTTGTGCATGTGTTGGGGTTCAGGAGGCAGAAGCATCGCAGGGTCCAGAGGCGGCTGGAGGCACAGCACAGATCCCACGGTGGCAGGAGGGGTCCCTCCCTCCCCACAGGAGAATGCCTGGAGTCCCCTCCGCCAGGGAGCACCGCCACCACGGCATGCCACATGGGGGCGAACACCCTTGCTGTCGAAACCGCATTTCCTCTCCCAGCTGACTGTGGCTTCCAGATCCAGCTGTTTGTCGGATTCCCAGCTCGGCCCCAAGGCCGGAGTCGACGGGTGCGGGGCGGGCCCAGACACCCGCCACAGTGGACAGCCCTGGTTGAGAACCACTGGGCACCCGTCCCCAATCACACGCCACAAAACCGGTCCTCTCCCGTGGTGACCTCCAGTGACAAGCATCTTGGCTGGTTTGCCTAGTTCTCTTCTGGAATGTTCTCGGGGCTGGAAACCTATTTCCTCTTTCAATACCACAGTCCCCTCAGACCTTTAACAGCTCCAATTCCGGGCGCCTGAAGTGACACGTGATGGCTCTACGACGATGAGAATGTACTTGATGCTGCATTAATGCTAAAGTACACTTAAAATGGGTGGAAATGGTAGACTGTAGATGACGTATATTTTACCACAATTAAAAAGGAAAAGGGGACCCTCTCCCAACACTTTTCGGTCTGGAAGTCAGCCTCTCAGCAGCATGGCGTCCTAACCCCACCCTGCAGAACAAGCCTCACGCACAGCCACCTTGTCCTCCCAAAACCCTTAGCTTAACTCTGTGCAAGAAGCACACACGTGTTAAACACCTTCACGAGTAAATAACAAACACGTAGACTGTTGATACCCGCTCTGCCTCGCTCCCCTAAAACTATTCCCAAGATCCCCACGGGTCACCCAGGCCAGAGACCCATTTCAGCAAATATTTTTACTATATAATAAGTTACAAAGTGTTTAATCAGCCGAGAGCTTGCACAGGCAGCAAAGGGAAGGAGGAAAACGGGATTTTTCACCAAAAATGAGGTGTGTATGTGACCTGGCAAAGCAGGTGCACAAACGAGACCCTGGACTCCTGGGTCCCGTTTCCTGGGCCAACGTCACAGAAGGACAGAAGGCCAGCGAGGTCCCTGCTGGTCAAGCTGCCTGCGATGCTCATGTCTGCAGCCGAGGAAGAACAAAAGGCTCTCCACGCGAAGGGTCACGCAGCTGGGCTTCAGGGCACAGGTGGGCCACGCAGGTGAGTCATTAAGGTGAGCCCATAACTCCTCTCCGAAAGCCCCAGAGCTGCCGCACGGGTCATCACTCACCTGGACAGGAGACAGCGCGTGCCAGAGCCACCGGTGGGAGGGATGGAGCAGGAAATGGTTCTAGGCAGCCCTGCGCCTGACTTCAACAACACAGAGAGGGGGAAGGAGAAAGGGCAGGCGGTTCAAAGCAGCGAAACTGGGTCACATGAGAACAGAGCGGTCTCCTCTCTGGCCTTGAACATCAAAGATAACACTAAACAGGGCCCAGGATTTCGTGACCTTTACAAATGGAAACAGTCTCCCAGCCCCGCCCAGGCTCTGGTTCAAGGGCGCCTGCCAAAGGAGCTTGTGATGCATAAAGTCTTGAAGGAAAGGAGGCCCCCCAGCTGGGGGCGGGGTACGGGGGCGCAGGCAGACCCCAGGGCCAGCCGCCAGCAGTCATGAGCCCAGGCCTGTGGTCACGGAGCCCAGGGTTCAAATCGCACTTTGCCACATGCTGGTATGTGGCTCGGAGCAAGTCTCTTCACCTTGCTAAGTAAGCCTCTGCTTCCCCATCTGTAACATGCGGGTGGCAGTGTGAACCTCCAGGGAGATTCTGGGGAATGAGAGAGATGAGCGCACTTGGCTCCTGGTTCGGAGCACAAGCTCTGCGCAGGGGAGGGCTCCGGGCTGAGGAATGAGTGATGAAGAGGAGGGTAAGGTCCCTCATCCCAGAGAGAACCCCGGAAGGCTTTCCGGAGGAGGCAGCAATTGAATGCCACCTTCGAAGATGCCAAGAATTCAGAAAACGGGCTTTGAGACTCTGTGCAAAGCATATGGGTGACGGCTCTGAGCCGAGCTTCCGCAAGCCCAGGGTGGGAGCCACGTCGGTTCGGAGCCGCAGTGGGTTCTCGGGACTCTGCTTTCTCTCACAGGCTGGCTTCTCTGAGGGGCACTCGGCTGAGGAGCTCGCGGTCTAAATCTGGTTGTCGTCTTCGGAGGGTCGGTGGTGACTGGGGGGTGGGGCTCCTCTGGAACCAGACGCTTCCCCCAGGACCCCACTCTGCCTGCTCAGTGGCTTCTCATTAATCCCAGAATGCATCTGCCGTTTAAAGCACTGGTCCATTTGCCAGAAAGGGAAACACTTCAAAGACACGAAACCCCACTGTCCTGAGTCCCAGAGGAAGATCAGGCGTCCGGTGTGCGTGACAGGCGGGGGCGCTCCGAGGGACTGGGGCTCGGCGTCACGCGGCCGGGGATCCACGTGTCTGCCGTTGCTCTCAGACAAAGGCCTCGTCCCCACTAAACCCAGCGGCTGACCACAAGGGCACCGAAGCCAACGTAGTCCCGCCATGCCAAAGTTCGCCTCCCAGCGGTGACACCCTGTGGCCAAAGGCCACACAGCGGACACGGGGCTGGGGAAGGCCAGGGGCCTCAGAGAGAGAGCAGAGGGACAGCGTTCAACTGGACAAGTGCCCCTCGGGACAGCCACGCCTCGCTCAGCCCTGGGTGGCAGAGCCAGATGTGCAGGCCATAGTCACCATATCTTAGGAGTTTTTCAAATGAAACTGAAAAGTTGGGGTTTGGTGTGGAACCTCCCAGTTTATAAACGTGAGCAGATAATTCCGATTCTGTGGACCAGCCAAGGGCAACCAGTTTGCAACCTCGGGTCACGGTAAATGTCTAACCCATGTCCTTGCCTGTTAGCGGAAAGAAGGGAGAGGACCGCTAACATTTCCTGAGCACCTACTGTGTGCCGACACCTTCCAGGCTGTTCATTCATCTCATCTCCTAACCAGTCTGTGAGGGACTGACTGGGTCCTGGCTGGGCCGGTGTCTGGTAGAGATAAAGGCACGTGACATACACAACCAGGGAGCCCTGGAACCAGAACTGAACCCGGTTCTACCCGCACTTGCACTTCACTGACCCCAGCTCAATCCTACCCACCTTCAAGCCTCAGCTTACTGGCTGCTTCCTCCAGGAAGCCCTCCTGGGTGCTCCACATCCACCCCAGGCTCCTCTCTGCCCAGCTTGAGTCACGCAGCCCTGTAACTACTTTTTCCTGGACCATCTGCCCACAGCAGTGCTACCTCGGCTCCTGCACATAGTGGGCCTTTAAGTAATATGAGGAGCAGCACAGCAAAGGGCTTAGAACCCTGGAACCAGTCTGCCCGTTTTGGATTCCAGCAAGGCCACTGACGAGCCAGCTGGGCGATCCTGGGATGGATCGCTACTTAATTGCTCTGTGCCTCAGTTTCCATCTGTGAAATGAGGCCCGATGCACCTCGAAGGGAGATTACAAAGAGTAAATGAGATGAGCACTCAGGACGACCGCTGGCACGCAGTACACGCTCGATAAATGCCAGCTTTTAGCGTCGGTTTAATGGATGGATACGTGTGTGTTTCCGAGGCCATTCTCTTTCCAACCCCTGCACCCGAAGACCCGGCAAGGTTAAAAGAAACAAAATCAGCTCTCACCGTTGGAATCGTGAGCACAGAAAAAGGCAGGAAGAGACTGTGAAACTAAACGCTGGCCGCTTGAAAGCGCCTCCAAAGGAGGTGACATTTACGCCCCGGGCCAAACGCGAGGGTTCTCTCTGTCTTTGACTTTTTGGTTTTCAGCTCTTTCTTTGTACGGGTTTCATTTTTTTAAAAAACTTATTTATACCCAGGTTCTTTTTTTTTTAAAAAAAAAAAAAGGCTTTCAGGCAGCTTTTTTTTCCCTTTTGACATTATTAGAAAAACGTGACTTTGAAAGCAGGCTGGCGGACAGAAGCACAAACCTGAAAGCAAAGGCTTCTCGGCCTTGGACGGAGAATCACGATGCACCCTTCCCCCCCCCCCACAAAGCTGGGGTGCAGGGAGCTCACGGTGGGGCTCCCCTGTCAGATACAAAGGCCTCGTGGGGGATGAGCCACGGCCCTTGGGGACTGAAGCTGTGACAAGTCCGCTTTCTGACCTTTTCCTAAGAGTGTGGTCTCGACACAGTGGAGATGCTTTGCCAGCTCTGGGGGCTTTTACTCCACACATCCACGTCCTGGTTTTCACAGAGGACGCAAGATCAGGGGAGAATTTTCAGCAGCCGGTCTGAACCGGAACCAAAGAGAAAGGGCCGACAAAAACGGAGATTTTCCCCTGTCCGCACCTAAAGGAACTCAGGAACGGACAAA